AGGGGCCCGCGGCCGGGCAGCAGTGCTCACCTGCCGGCTGTCCCCGTGGTGGATGTGGCACCGATCCTGCACCCCGTTCAGTGCCAGGGCCCGGCGCAGAGCCTCCACAGCATGGACATTCCACTCACAGGCATGGACAAAGGCGGCTCCCGCATGAACAAGGAATGGCAGCGTGAAATAGCCGATGCCTGCGGGCAGGAGGTGGCAGTGGCTGAGGGCAAGGACCTGCTGGAGACCCATGCTCCTCCCTGGAGGCAGGGCGGGGTATACGCTGTCACCCCAGCTCTCCAAAACTGCTTTGCTCTGGGTTGGAACGAGCCCAAACACTCGGTAAATGGAAGTTCACCCCTCCCTCCTCTGCAAAAGCAAAATCTGTCTTGAAAAATGTTTAGAGGAGCTTATTTTACCTTCAGTCTGTGGCCATCAGCTCGAAACCTGCCCTGCTTCCACTCTGTGCAGGAGTGCCCAGACTAACATTTAATTAATCCAGAGCAGTTTTGTGGGTGCCACATCCCTTCAGTGTGGCACAAATTGGAAGCACTAACTTTCCTAAGCACAAAACAGCGGCAAATCTTTCCCCTGGATCCAAATGATTCCCTCAAACAGTGGTGCTCTGCAGAGCCTGAGTGCAAGGTCATCCTAAGTGTCCAAAGGCAGCAGGGACACAGGAGGGACAGAAGTGCCAGGATAGCTGAGGGCTCACAAACAGGGTGGGAGCTCTAAGCCTAAGTATTTTTCATTCCAGGCTGGAAATGACATCTGGATGCCATCTGCATCACTGCTCTCTGCCTGCCCACCCTGCCAAAGCCCTTCTCCATCCCCATTACCTGCATAAAGATCCACCAGGACCTCCCCGGAGCAGGGCAGTGAGGCCACCCGCAGCTTCTCCGTGATGTTTCCCGGTGAGAACATGCATTTGGTCACGTCAAAGGTGTACCTGGAAGACCCCGCCGGGATGGTGAAAGTGGCCCCTTCCCTGTGCCGGCCGCATCCCGCACCATGGCTCCTGCCTACCTGATCCCATTGTCCACGTGCTCCACCCAGCCGTCCTGGCCCAGCAGCAGGGTCACACTGGGGGTCCGCATCCCGTCTGGCAACACCCGTCCTCGCCTGGCTATCCGCCGGGCACCCAAAGCCGACGCCACCGTCTCCCAGAGCACTGGACCTGGAACACACCCATCCCAGGAAATGTGGAAAAGGCTAGAACAGGTTCTGTGGGCACGATCAGGGCAGGCAGACCCTGCTCCTCCTTACCCAGGCTCTCCCACGGTGCAGCCCTGAAGCTGTCCTCACTCAGCAGCACCAGGTCCCCGTGCCGCTGCCAGGCATGGGGCACATCCTGCTCCAGCTCCTCCGACCAGCTCCCATCCAGCAGCTGCCGCAGCTCATCCCGCAGCTTCTGGGCAGGCGCCCGTCGCCGGGATGCCCTGGAGGGGACAGGGTCCTGCTGCAGGGATGTGGCACGTGGGGCTGAGACCTCATCGCCCCATGCAGGGCTTGGGGCAAGGGGGCTCTCCCGACCTGGATCCAGACCAGCTCACAGGGCATCTCCGGGGGAAGGCACAGCTGGGAAAGCTTCTCCTCCAGCACGGGCAGGGCCACGCAGCCCCCTGGCACCTGCTGCAGCTGGTAGCGCCTGTCCAGCAGCTGCTTCTCTTCCAAATGCTCCCTGCAAGGCCAAGGCCTGATCAGGCCCTTCCAGCTCTGCAGACCCTCCTGGTGCGGGACTGGCCCTGTGACCCTCCTCCCAGCCAGTCCCACCATCACCTGCTGGAGCAGAACAGGGCTCCCCATTATCCCTCGCTCCCGTTCCCCCCTCGTTCCGCATTCCCCTCACTGAGGCGCTGGGGCGATGCTCGCCGCTCCGTGGCTAGTGCAGGGATGGGGATGGAGATGTCCTTGGCTTTCATCCTGCCAAGCCCCGGGATGGAGGGACTTCACTGGGTGCCAGGGACATCGGAGCCCTGGCTGCTGCCCGGGGCAGGGGCTGGGGGCACTGGGGACAGGGTGACCGAGGTGGTGGGGTGTCCTGGGGGTGGTGTCCCAGGGAATGGGATGCTTTGGGTTTGGGCAATACGGATGGGATGGAATGGCGTGCCTGGCAACGGGGCACCCCAGGGGATGGGGTGTCTGGGGGGTAGAGTACTCCAGAGGGGGCGTACACTAAGGGTGAGGTGTCCCAGGGGAATTAGGAGGATTGGGCACCCTGGGAGCGGGGTACCCGGGGGTCTGACGGGACAGGGTGCCGTGGGATCGGGGCTCTCGGGGATGGGGTGCCCGGGGTGGGATACCCGAGGGGCTGTGCCTCAGGGCCGGTGCCCGGAACTGCACCACCGAGGCCGCGGGGCTGCTCCAGGAGCTGGCACCTCCTGACCGGCTGTGCCAGGAGGGCTCCCCAAGGCCACAATCGGGGGTCCCGCTCCCGGTCCGGGGGTCGCGGTCCTACCGGGCGTTTCCCGCCGGAGCACTTTCCGAGAGCGCCGCCGCCATGCTTCTGCGGGCGGAGGCGGAAGCGGGGGGCCGGTGTGTGCGCGGACCGGAAGTGGCCGGCGGCGCGATGGCGGGTCTGTCGGTGCGGGACCCGGCCGTGGATCGGTCCCTGCGCTCCGTGTTCGGTGAGAGGGGCCGGACTGAGGGACAGCACAGGGGCGGGGACGGGGAAGGGACGGGGCATCAGGTGGGGTCCCCCCCGCCCCTCGCCGTTGGGTCGGTCCCAGCCGCGCTGACCGGCGGCTCCGTCTGTGTCCGCAGTGGGGAACATCCCATACGAGGCCACCGAGGAGCAGCTGAAGGACATTTTCTCGGAGGTTGGGCCCGTGGTCAGCTTTAGGTGAGAGCGGCCGCTGGCCTTCCCTGCGTCCCCCTGCTCGGCCCCAGACCGGGCTCTGGGAACCGCGGAGTCGGGAATCCTTAACGTTGGAAAAGACCTCTAAGGCCATCGAGTCCAACCGTTCCCCCAGCACTGTTACGCTAAACCACGTCCCCAAGTGCCACATCCACACACCTTCTGAGCATCCCCAGGGATGGTGAATCCACCACTTCCCTGGGCAGGCTGTGCCAATGCTTGACAACAAGTGAAGAGCTTTCCCTAATATGCAGTCCAAACTTGCCCTGGCACACCTTGAGCAGAGCAGTGCAGCATCTGCTTGAGGTTGTGAGGCTGTACCAGGTGTGCTCAGGGGCTGAGGGGCTGTGCCTTGGTCACCTGGAGATGGAGTACACGGAGCTCAACAGGGGGACATGGGCTGGAGGGGCCACCCTGCTGTGGCAGAGGAGTGCTCAGGCTCTGGGAAGGCTCTGTGCTCCTCACTCCTGCTCCAGTGTCTCCCAAGGGTGTTTCCCAAATCCTGAAGAGTTCTCAGTTAAGAGCTTGTGAGCTCCAGGAGCATCCAGTCCCATCCTGTGCCCCTACGAGCTGCCTGGTGGGGTCAGAGTTCCTGCACACCAGAGCTTTGGGAACACCCCTCCCAGAAGCCAGGAGACCCTTTGGCTCTGGCTTAGGGATGACTTAACCAGCCTAAGCCTGGCATCAGTGCCTCCACTGCTCCCAGCACACCCGTAGGGTGTATCCCAGCAGCTCCTCCCTTGCTTTGGTAGCTGTGGGTGCTGCTGGGTGCCCACCCTGCCTTCAACAGTGGTGTCCCTCCCCTCCCTGCGCAGGCTGGTGTATGACAGGGAGACAGGGAAGCCCAAGGGATATGGGTTCTGTGAGTACCAGGACCAGGAGACGGCGCTGAGCGCCATGAGGAACCTGAACGGGCGCGAGTTCAGCGGGAGGGCCCTGCGCGTCGACAACGCCGCCAGCGAGAAGAACAAGGAGGAGCTCAAGAGTGAGTCTGAACTCTGGGGTGGGCCTGGCCCTGGCAGTGCTGCAGAGCAAGGTGGTGCTCTCCTGTGTGGCTGTGAGAGCTGACTTGTTCTAAGGGATGTTGTGAGTGGCTCCCCGGAGGGGTGCATGGGCTCACTGCTGTGTTTTCACTCCAAGGTGACCACAGGATCTTTTAGGTTGGAAAAGATCTCTTAAGATCAAGTCCAAACTTTGACCAAACACCACCTTGTCAGCTAAACCACAGCACTAAGTGCCACATCCAGTCTTTTCCTAAACACCTTCAGGGATGGTGACTCTGCCACCTCCCTGGGCAGCCCATTCCAATGCCTGACCACCCTTTCTGTTAAGAAATTCCTCCTGATGTCTCCCTGTTTTCACTACCCCCCTTTCCCCGTAGTGGGTGGTGCTCCCCTCCTCATGACCCCATTACCCACTGTTGGTTCATGTTGCCATACAAGGTCACCGACTGTGTTTCAGGCTTGGGCACGGGTGCCCCCATCATAGAGTCACCCTACGGGGACCCTGTGAACCCTGAGGACGCTCCCGAGTCCATCAGCCGGGCGGTGGCCAGCCTGCCCCCCGAGCAGATGTTTGAGCTCATGAAGCAGATGAAGGTCAGTGTAGGAGGGCACAGCTCCCACTGCCACTGCCCTGTCACACCTTGTCAGAGCTCTAACCCGTGCGTGTCTTCTCAGCTGTGTGTCCAGAACAGCCCCCAGGAAGCTAGGAACATGCTGCTGCAGAACCCCCAGCTGGCCTATGCCCTGTTGCAGGCTCAGGTGGTCATGAGGATCGTCGACCCCGAGATCGCGCTGGTTCGTCCCTTGCTGCTCATCCGGGGTCGGGAGCGTGTCAGTGGCAGCCTGTGTGGAGTGGGAGTGGGAAAGAATTTCTTTCTCCTTTTTCTCGCCCTAGAAAATCCTGCATCGCCAGACCAGTGTTCCTCCTCTGATCCCAGGTAACCAGCAGCCAGTGCCAGGGCCAGGACCTGGGCCAGGACCAGGGCCTGGGCCAGGGCCCAACACGCAGCTGAACCCACAGAACACCCCCTCGTCCCAGCCACAGCCCATAGTAAGAGCCTGCACAACACATAAGCTGTGCAGGGAAGATGGACAGCTCTTCCAGCTGGGGTGCATACCTGGATGACCAGACATCCCTGAACTCTAGTGTCTCTCCCGGCAGGGTGGGATGCATGTGAACGGCGCTCCTCCTCTGATGCAGCCACCCATGCAGGGGGGAGTGCCGGCCCCAGGGCAGATGGCAGCCCCTGTGCAGGGCCCGGGACCCGGCCCCATGGCTCCAGGAGGTGAGTTTGGGCCAAGCCACCCCACCTGTGGGCACACAGGTCCTGCAGACACCCCCCCTCTACCTTCCCCCTGACCGGAGGGCTTGGCCCCATGAGAGCACATGTGGTCCCATACCACACGTTGTGGTTGTGGCTGCTGCCAGAGGCAGGCTGGAATGTTGGATTATCTCGGGGGAGGACCAACACCAAGGAAATAAACCTGCAGATACCCCCGCAGGAGCTGGGAGGGGGAAGGTATTTGGGGCCAAAGGAATGGGTTAGTGGTGCAGGGATGGCTGATCTCTGCCTCTCCTCTCCCAGGTGGGTTGCAGCCACAGGTTGGGATGCCGGGCGCAGGGCCTGTCCCCTTGGAGCGCGGACAAGGTAAAACAGACATGGTTGGTGTTGTGTGTGGGGTGAGCCTCCCTCCAGCGGGGCCTAGGCTGTGAGTGCTGAGCAGTGCAGCACCCAGAGCCCCTGCCAGCCACCTGCAACCTGGCTGTGCCTGCCCCTGGGGCAGCTCCACAGTGCTGGGCTGTGGTAGCACAAGGCTTAGCCACAAAGCTGGGGTAGCAGCTCTCTGGCTCCCAGGACTCAGCCCACGCACTGGTTTGCTCCCAGCTCGTTCTCTGCTATGCTGTGCAGTCATGCCCTGGAAGCCAGGGAGAGCTGCCAAGCCCCGCCGCGCGGGATGTGCCTGTGTTTTCCATCTCTGCGAGCCCCTGTCTGTACCTGTGCTTGTGCGGGCAGGCAGAGCTTGCTTTTCTCTGGTCCCTGTCCTGCTCCTTTGCTGCCTGCGTGCTGGGAAGCAGCTGGTGCGGCCACTGCGTCCTCCCCCGCCGTGCCCAGCAGAGGGAGCTGGGCCTCCGCTTTGGCTTGAGGCTTGGCTGGGAATTTCCCTGCGAGTGACGGCTCGGCTTTCCCTCCGCAGGCACGGTCTGTATGGCCCAGCCCCGTAGCCAGATTCCTTATGGTCCACGTGTTGCCATGTGCCAGGGCTAGGGAGACCTGAGCGTTCTTGTTCTCCCAGTAACAAAGCATGCAGGCACCTGACACTCCTGTTGTCTTGACTTGTATCCTAGGCCTTGTTTCGGGAACGTGGTAAACCTGGTCTGAGATACTTTGGCCTTAGGGGTAGTTGACTCTTGTTTTCTTTGGAGTGGGCAATGTCTTTCTGAGAACAGCGTGGTAGTTCTTGGCACCCGAAAGGTTTTGGAGAGCAGAAACTGTGGGCAGGGGCAGAAGCAGGAGCTGACTGGTTGTGTGTTGTGGGGCCAACGTGGCCCCACAGAGTGCCACGTCTTTTGGCAGGTTGTCTTCCTTCCCTGCCTCTCTCCCTGAACAAGGGAAGGACTGTGCTGCCTGTGGTGACAGAGGTGGTGTTAATGGAAGAGGTCGATAAAGCCAGATCTGCTGCATCTTCTCTGTAGGTTTTCCTGGGGACTTTAGGAAGTGTGATCTTGCAGGCAGCACTGTCCCCAAGGCTGGGTGCATGTGTGCACACACTATTTACGTGTCTGCTCTTTCCCTCTTTTCCTGCTGCTTGCCCAGGGAACCTGCAGCTCTCGCCCGTGGGACCTGCCAGGCCTGCGTCTATCGAACGCGTCCAAGGTATCCCAGCACCCGCCAGCTCCCTCCTCCCATGGAGCTCATTGTGGAGTGTGCAGAGAGCAGCTTTCACCCCGCTATGCTGAGGCCTGGGGACTAGCATATCACTCCCTGTAGCCTGGCAGGGTTAAGAGGAGGAGGAGGCAGGATTTCCTTTAGGGCCGCAGGAGAGAACGGTCTAGAGCCGTGCATGGAGCCTCCAGTGGAAAAGGAGAGCCTGTTCGGAGAGGGCTTTTGCCTAGGCTCCAGCCTCCTTTGACACTGCACTTCCAGGAGTCTTCCAGGTCTTGCTTTACTCCTGGTCCCATGTCAGCAGGGTGTTGATGCCCACATTTGTAGGGATTGCCATGGGAGAACCCACGCTTGGTTTGACCCCTTGTGCCATAAGGAGCCTGAGGTAGATCCAGGGAGGAAAAAGAGAGGAATAAAATCAGCAGCCAGGAAAGGGGCTTTGGTGTGCTCCAGCCTTGGGTGTGGGGCTGCCTCCCCAGCAGTGCAGCCGACCCACACCCGGCCCCAGAGCGCCGGGGACGGTCTCGGCACGGCACTGGTCATGCAGATCCTCACGAGCTCTTGTGTGTCTCCCTGGCAGTGCCCATGCCAGACCCGAGGGCCCCTATGCAGCGTGGACCTCTACCTGCTAGTGGCCCGCCGCCCCGAGGCCTTTTGGGAGATGCCCCGAATGACCCTCGCGGAGGGACCCTGCTCTCAG